GCAGTCCTCAACACTTTTTTGTTTTGAAGTCTTTGAGTACGGTCATTCTTTAAAAGTGGCTGCACATGCTGATGAATGAGACATGAGGGCTACTTCACAAAGCACTAAACTAGAAGGTGTCAAACATAAGGGCCCGGGGCCAGGATTGGCCCAGGAAAGACTCCATTCTGTCCCAGCGGACAGCTTTGGAAATGTGAAAGAGGGTATACATTTTTAAAATTTAACCGTATTTTCATAAATTTTACAGTTTTTCCTGCTGATAAAGGTCATTCACACAACACCAACATGATCCAGTAATAGATAAACAATTAAATGACATGAAAAAAATCAAGTTTTTCATTATTATTTTTTTCACACTGGGTAAAATAATAACAAAAATAATATTCAAATAAAATATTTGACATTTTCTGTGAATAAACAACATCTGTGTTTTATAATGACAGGACATTGTGGGTAGTGAATTCCCAAAACATTTACTGTAATTTTACTCATTTATTTCTTACAGTGTAGGCCCAACAGGTTTCTTTCATACAGTCCACAGACAGCCCACAGCGACCAAAGTGGGCTGTATGTGCCTGACAGTGTAAGCGGACTGTGACATTTCTTCACTATGACTGCGAACCCAATAACTTGCACTTTATTTCATGTTAACTGTTATTTTCCCTGGTTTCCCATTTGGCAGTTTAAGCTATTTCCTTGACTTTTTTGGCTTCAAAATATGTTTAATGAATCATTTGACTAATTCTAATTCCTTTTAAGATGCACTTCAAAAGGGTGTAGACTGGTTTTACTCTCGTTAAACTTTGTGATGCAGAGTTCCTTAAATTTGTCTTTCACAAGAGTTCACCCTTCAGTCATAGTGAAAATCCCCAGCAGATCCTGGGTTATTTAATATGAGAGTCTTTGCTTCAGGCTTTAGTACGCGCCTTACACTGAATTGACATCCTAACCAAATTTGTTTTAGGGTAGAGAAACGTCCAGAGATGTTCAATTTGAAGCCTTAGAAAACGTTTAGCATCCGTGTTTGTTTCATTTTCTGTCAGCTTTCATGTTGACTTTTACCTTTCTTGGATGGATTTTATAATTTTTTATTATTTTATTTGTTTAATGTGTTAATTAGTCTGTGTATTTTTCTCTCTACCAGGAGCAGACAGACAGCGTGGACCAGGGGAAACGATAGAAAACCAGGTAAAGTGTGTTTGCATCGGCTGCACACGTGTCTTAATTTTTCAGAGCTGTTTACATATTCTTTTATATTTCTTACAGCTATTAAAAAAGCAGAAGAGGAGCAACATCTGGACACTTTTTAAACCCAAATAAGAACTTTCAACATCAGTGCAGGAGGGACAGATGGATCCGGGAATCGTCCCCCTGTCCTGTCGCTCCACAGGGAGTGATGCGCTGCTGCTGCTGCTGATGGTGGTGATGATTTTACAAGTAGAGATGGCTCAGGTGTGTCTACTTGAAATGGTAGCTGGACAGCAGTGCCTTGCCCAGTAGTGTCAAAAAGTAAACGGGGAAAAAAAAAAAGCCGGGCAACTGCTTGATGTAACGATGGAGGCTCGACCAGCGCTGTCCCTCCCAAAAACTACAGTCGTACTCCTCAAAAAGCAACTGGTCTGTGATGTTTGTGCATTACAGGTTAACAAGGAGGTTTTAAACACGTCATCACTTGGTTTATTTGTAGAACTAAATCCCAGGAACAGGTAGAGCCAGTCTGTGAACCAGTTCAGGTCATCATTTACCAAATAGGAAGGAGTATATCGTGGCCAGACGCTAACTGGGAACATTAGCAGGCGTGACCAAAGTAAGGTTCTCACATCCTGTAATCATATGAACAGGATGATAAACTGTCCTCACAGTGCATGTCAACCTGATTGTCCTTTTTAATAAGAACTCCGGGTCAAAGAGCAAATCGGTTCAAATATTCAGACACGAGCCAGTCGCTGGATGTTTTCTGTTAGTCTGTTATTTCTGTTCTTTTTTGTCCTGTGCAGTATCCTGCTAATACATTCAACTTAGAAGATATTAGCATACATTTGGAGTCCTAATTCTGACTATCTAGCCTCCTTTTAGCTCTGTTTTTGGTCTCCACCACCGTGACAGAGAATTAAATTGAAAAAGCAAAACCTAAAAGACAAACTGAAAGCAGCTGATACACATACTGCACTGGTCCCACTCTAGATTTGTTTTGTTTTTGCTATAATGTATCCTTAATAACAAAAATACAGTTTGTATCAGTGTTGTGTTATATTAGCGTAGAGAACACGTCTGAAACACATTCTGAGTTAAAACCTTTTGTAAACACATTTAAGTAAAAAGGGCGACGCTGTGATGTAGTGAGCCTCAATATGAACCGTTGATTTTTTTTGAGGCTGTTTGTTTCCTTATCGACTTCGTTCTGCCTTGACTTAATTTATCAAAGCCTTTTTTTTTTTTTTTAAATTTAGCCTGGATTTATCGTATTTTAGCTTGAGCTGCCTTTATTATATTCCATCCTGAGAGCAGATACTGCACAAATGGTTTAATCCATTGTGGATTATGTTATCAACGGGCCCACCAGGATGTAAGCCTTATTTTCTCTTTCTAATGAGATGTGCCTTTCGTTTCTAAACGTGCTTGTGCTCGCACAGGTGCGTCAAGGCAAAGGTCAGATGGTAGGTGCTGTGATTCATTCTGTTTTTTGTATCAAGAATCGTTTACTGTGCAGAGCAGTGTACTGAGTGAGTTACATCTTTAAGGAAATGGTCTTATTGTGAATGTAACCTCTTAAAGTGAGTACGTGTGGATAGACTAGTGCCATGGGCTGATGCAAGATGAGGTGTGTACTCATTTTTACTCTTTATCCTATCACTTTTGTGGCCATGCTAACTTTGCTCTTAACCTCTAAGGAAGTGGGCAAAAAGCCTATAAACACAGTGGATCATGTTGCTTGTGGCCATAATTTCGGCAGGTTTGCTCTGTGGTCACCAAACCAAAGACATCTCTGGGAACATTGCACTAACGTAGATCAGCGTAAATATGATGTTATGTCAGAGTTTCATGTTATGTCATCAAATACAATATTTTAAAAATGTAAATGTAACGCTTTTCCATCGTGATTCTGTAATGGTGATCCTGGTCATGTACCAATCAGATGGTCGGCGGTTCTATCCCCGGCTCTTCTGGTCTGGATGTAAAAGTATCCTTGGACAGGATGCTGAACCCCGAGTTCCCCTTAAATAAGGTTAAAAGCACTTAAGCATAGAAAAAAGTGCTTACATGAAGGTTAAGCGGTGTCACAGGAAGTGCTCGCTACAACAGTTGGTCATGAGCAGCCGTTTCAGGCTCCTGTTGTAGAGGTAACACTGTTGTATGTTTTTACTAACTTATCTAATGTGAGTCAGCGGTTTCCTGTGCTCTCATTGGTAGTCGCTTCTCTCGCTAATGTCCAGGCGGAGAAAAGTTTAACTCAGGACCCGCCAACTTTTCAATGTGACTCTCATCTCTACGTCACTTTTAGTCACTTCCTGTGTGGACGCCCCTTAAAGAAAGATGTTATTAAGACGTTTTTCCCTGTGGTTAAAACTGTTGTATTGATTGGCTGATTTTTAGCACCTGATGTAGTCCTATAGCAACAATGTTTGTATCAGAGATGTTTCAGTTATAGTCTGGATTTTTTTTCGTCTTTTCTAAATCGTATTGCAGATGATGCAGGTGTCAGTGACTTAGTATTTACAACAATCTCAGCAGCATCTGCAGCTCATGTTGCAGGACAGCGTGATAGTAGAGTAGAGGCTCAGAGACGAGCGATCGCTCCAGTTGAGTTGTGTGCAGACTGGAAGCAATTAGCAGCGACCAAAAACTGTAGAAAGTGAATGCTACTTGGCAACTTCAGGAGATTACACGCAAAAGATCCAGGTGAGCAACTGAAACAACTACCAACGAGAATAAAGAATACCTATGACTGACATACTTCCTGGTAGCAAAGACATTAGGGGGTTACCTGGGTAACCATATCCTGAAATTACTGCTTGTGACCAATGATCAGCTTCAAAGTGATGAGCCGGTTGCGTCCTTTGTGGACGCAGTTTAAGCTTTTTGCTAGTTTCAGAATTTACTGCTGGATTGGCCCGTGAACTAACACTTATTTTTTACTTCAAAAATATGCATCTGCCCCAAAACTCCAGTATTGGTCTCACCCAAGTCAAAGGTTTCCCACCTAGTCAGCATCACTGACTGCACCCAAAGTTTAATCATACTTCCCTACAACCCGGGGAGAAGCTGAACTACTGAAGGATGTGTTAAGTTATTCTTTTTACCCCATAAA